ATTGACGGGTTGACCCGCGAACCCAAATAGTTAACCTAACTCAACCCATGAAATAAATGGATTGGTGGGTTAGAAATTTCAACCCAAACCCGTTTATTTTCATGTCGGGTTACGAGTTGGGTCGAAAATTTTCACCCCTGATACTAACCTAACTTGACAACAAAAAAATAATAATAACTTAAAAAAACCCTTAGCTTATATTCGGCAACTTTTTTTTTGTTTTAACTCTTAATTCCTATGTTTTGTTGGTGGAAGAAGATGGAAGTTTGTTTGTATTTGTGCTTGCTAATTTGGAATATGAAGGTTATGTATATTCTAACTTGGATGGAGGCATAGAGCTCTGTCATAAATGGTTTAACGTGTGTTAATTTGGAGATTGAATGTTCTTTGATAGCTTAAATGTAATCATATCACAAATGGTTATTTGTCTGCTAATTTGAAGACTAAATGCTCTACATATGCTAATTTGAAGACTAGATGTTCTCCGTTATTTTTTATACGAGTATTGATGTGAAAATATTAAGTCTCAAAGAAATCTAATGAGATTATTATGAATATTTACATTAAAATGAAATTAGATTTACAAACTTAGATCGGAGTTTGGGAGATGTTTTTCTATATAATTTTGATATACATTTTACCAACAAATAACTAGAAAAAATAACTTTTTTTTCTTTGATCCGAAATCGCTTTAATGTTTCTTCAAATTTAAATGTTGAAAAATGAAAACCACAAAAACAGTAGAAACAATAACAAGAGAATTATGAGCCACAAAGAAATACAAAAGATCAAAACGAAAACTTTTATGAAGTACAAGGATTTTCTTTTAAAAATGTAGGTTTTTTTCCGAAAAATAATTGTCAGTACCGGTAAACCTGTTAAAATGATAAGAATGAAAAAAAATGAAAATTTGTGATGATTTATTAGAAAATCAATAGAAACTAGATTTAAACAAGGAAAAAAAACAGAAAATCAATTTTTTTTATTATGATATTAACCAAAAAATCTTCGATTAAACAACTATTTCATATGTATATTTCTATTGTATAAATTAAATTTTTCATTAGCAGGAATATAATATGATTGGTTTGAGGTTTAATTCAACCAAGTATTAAAGAAAATCTAATAATCCAAATTACACATAAATAAGTCGTGATTCATGGTCCCCTCCCCTCCCCTTAAAAGTTCAAGTTACACAAATGAATAAATGGGATACATTCTTTGTGGCTTATCAAATATATAATTATCCTTACAAAGTGAAGCTTCCTACAAATACCCTCATATATTCATATATATATTACTTACATCATTACATACGTCAAGCATACATCACTTACCACAAACACCCTATGGAATCCATATTCATGCCCCCATGAAGTGGATGGTATATAAGTTGCAATCGCAATCATATCCATTCCATCATAAGTGTTTCAAAAATTCTTGTTTAGCATGCCAACTTTCCCCTATTCATATCCTACGCTTTTATGCTCATTTGGTAGACCATAACCCCCATTTAAAGGTAGCTAGCATCAACAAGGAATAGAGAGTCCCACAATACACGTTTTTGATGTTGTTGCCTATTTGCCCAAATGGAGATATTAAAATAGTCAAAGTGTGCAAATGTAGCAAGTGATATAGAGTCAACCACTTGGTTGAAAGCTTTAGTGGTCCTACACGATCCTAACTTCTTTATCACTCTGACCTTGGTGTACGTCAATAACCCACTTTCATTACCAATATCATGAAAACAACTAAACAAGTAACAACATCTAGGGTTAATAATAAAAGTGACCATCAAATTTTTTTAGAGTCACCATTTCAACTATAAACGTTCAAAAAGTGTAAAAATTAGACCATAAACACACGGTTTATGATGCATCTGACCATTATCATATGTTATAGTAAGACACAGGTTTAATAGTTTACAGTTTACCGGCTTATGTAACATGCAACTTGGCATATGTTGGTCCATGTGGCACTGATATGACGTTTACATGGTTTATTTTTGTTATTTTTTAGAATTATAAAATTGTTATTATTATTATTAATATTACTCCTAACACCTAATAATTGTTAAAGTTATAAGCTAGACTTAATTAATAGCATTTATTAGGTCTTATGGTATTACCGATAATATGTGAACCATTGTGTTAGTTTAGGAACCAATGTTTGACAGTTACACAAATTAACTGTACATGTATATGAATTCCGCACAGAATCGTGTGTGTGTTGTTGGTTGTGTGTGTGTTATTAATAAAAAGATTGTATTTACTGCACAAAGGAATAATTTCTTCCCTATTCTTTCCTGTCCAAAGTTCACTGCATATTAGTTGTTGTTTCCTGGGTTTAATCCCAACAATAATATATTTGTAATCGGAAATAACTGAACGTTATCAATCTAACAGTAATTGTATATGATATTGCGTTAGCTCCAGTAAAATATTTGAATAAAGCAACCGTAAAAATTGAATTTAAGAGGTCATTATGAGAAGATCAAACACAAGCACCAACAAAGATTCTAAGTGGGGTCCAAAGTGCAACATGGTATTTTTGTAATAATCAAAAAGTACAAGGGCATCCTCATACTTTATTTCTATAAATACACCACAAACATAATCCAAACAACCTTACTCAACAACTAAAAGAAACCAAAAAAACAAGCAAAAATGGGGAACTGCATCATTCGACAAAACAAGGTCATGCAAGCAGATTGGGAAATCAGTAAACATAAAGAACCCATGAAAGCTCATCCAGTCTTACCAGTTGTGCTTTATCCAGTGGCAATTCCGGTAATAAAGGCAGGATCAGAGGGCGATAATGGAGTTGTGAGGATTAAGGTGGTGATAAGTAAACAAGAGTTGGAGGTGATGTTGAGAAAAGGAGGTGTTTCAGTAGGTGAACTGGTTTCTCATATGAAAAAAGAAAGATTTGATGTGATTGATGATGACGATGAAGATGATAGAAATCGTGGAAGATGGAAGCCTGTTTTAGATAGCATACCTGAATTAAACTAGTTTTTTTTTATGAGTTATAATACCTCTATAGATTCAACATACAAAGAATATGTAGTCAGTGAGCATAAAAGATACAGTGAAACTTGATCAGCATGAATTGTAATAACATGAAAGATTGTAAGTTTATAATATATTTACTTCAATCATGTGATTTATTTGTTTCACTTTAATTCTCTATAGTCTTATGCAACTGAACATAGCTTTTGCTCCCACTAGTAAACATATTACTTGCTAGGTGAAAGAATTTTACGGAAATAATATGATATATATATATATATATATATATATATATATATATATATATATATATATATATATATATAATAACAAAAATTGGTTATTTTTTATGTGACTAGAATTTTGGAAGTTGCCCTTGGTCAAGATGGTCTCAATTAGTAAGATTTGTAGTTTCATTTATTAATGTATTATAATATCCTGCTTTTAAATTGTTTTTTATTACTTTGAAAAATCCACCTAATAATAGTAGTAATAATTGCTATGTATTTTGATGAAATTACTATAACCGGGTAGATTTTTTAAACTACAATGTTGTAAAAAGAAGAAATGAAAGTAATATGATGTAAAAACAAAACAACGGAATTACGTTGCTATTTCTTGCATTTTACAGGGTCGCGGTTAGACCATTTATGATGTATGGATTAAAATATTGGCCGATGAAGAAGAAGAAGAATGAGACGGAGATTAAAGTTTCCGCAATGAGGTCATCTGTCTATCGAAGTTGTTTCTCTTGAATAGAGGCACAGCTGTCTAATCATACCTCCCTCTTAACCTATTCGTATGAGAACTAGGTTTAAATGTGGAGGAGATCTATTATGCGAACGTGTGTGGATAATGCTATTATGTGAAAATGACTAAGAGAATAAGTTGTTTGGTAATGTAAATACGTTTAAATTTACATAACTATTGTCATTATCATGTACTCTTACTAATTCTCATTCATTCTTGTTCTCACACATCCTTATTCACTTGTTCTCATTTTTACAAAATACGATTATCAAGAACACATCTGACAGAATGGGAATCATAAAAAAAAGTTCGTATTACCTTTATAGACGATTTAATTGGTGATAATGTCTTATAATGACACTAATTATATAAGGTTGGACATATTCATATTACCGTACAACAATTCTTTTAGTCATTCTTATAAAATATCATTGTCGGCACACGTCCGCACAAACCGATTTTTTTTCCAAACCGAACCAATTCAGTAAACCGGTTCGGTTCCAATTCGTGAATAGTAAAACCGGTTCAGGCATAAACCGATTCGGTTCAAACCGGATTCGTCTTAGAAAAATTCGAACCTATCTACACCGATTACACCGGTTCTAAACCGGTTAAATCGGTTCTAAACCGGTTCGATCGGTTTGACTACCGATTCTAAACCGGTTCACAGTTATTAAACCGGTTCTAAACCGGTTTCAATGTCTAAAATCTCGAACGGGTGCAAACCGGCGGTTCGGTTCTTGAATCG